CATCAAATGTCACCACAGGTGTTTACAATTGAATGCTAGAGATCCCTCACAAATTATTATTCCTGTGACACAAGAGCAGTTTGAATGGTGTTTTGCTAACTGTACAGCCTTGCCAAGTGCTTTGCAAAATTTTTCTGGACAAATCACTCACCACTTACCAAGCCATAGATTGCTGAAGTCAAGTGGCAAAACTGCACTATCTCTGAAACCTCTAAGTAGCTGAACACCCTTAAAAGGTGTTACAGTGTTTATTGATGGTTCTGGGAAAACAGGAAAGGCCATTGTGGCCTGGAAAGAGGAAGGTGAGTACTCACTGTCTTTGAACTAATTGACAAGTCCACCAGATATGTCCAGAGGTGTGTATCACTGTGTTCATTTTCATTGTTCACAGTTAATCATCAAATGTCACCACAGGTGTTTACAATTGAATGCTAGAGATCCCTCACAAATTATTATTCCTGTGACACAAGAGCAGTTTGAATGGTGTTTTGCTAACTGTACAGCCTTGCCAAGTGCTTTGCAAAATTTTTCTGGACAAATCACTCACCACTTACCAAGCCATAGATTGCTGAAGTCAAGTGGCAAAACTGCACTATCTCTGAAACCTCTAAGTAGCTGAACACCCTTAAAAGGTGTTACAGTGTTTATTGATGGTTCTGGGAAAACAGGAAAGGCCATTGTGGCCTGGAAAGAGGAAGGTGAGTGGCAAACGTTGGAGGAATATGAGAATGGATCACCTCAAATAGTAGAACTACAAGCTGTAGCTATGGCTTTCCAACATTTTCCCCACACTCCTCTAAATGTTGTAACTGATTCTGCATATATGGCTGCCATCACACAAAGATTAGACCAAGCACTATTAAAGGAAATTGATAATGCACAACTGTTTAGCTTACTAAAAACTCTATGCCTTACTATCCAAGGCAGAACTTGCCCTTATTATATCCTATACATCAGGAGTCACACAAATTTACCAGGTTTTATCGCAGAGGGCAATGTCACATCAGATATGATAGCTAGTCCTGCTTGAACGGCACCACAACCAGATACGCTAGCACAAGCAAAAAGGCATCACATGATTTTTTCCACCAAGGTGTTTGAGCCTTACAGGGACAATTTAAGCTGTCAAACTGATTTGTAGGAAAAAACCTCTAACTCTACAACTTGAAAAAGTTGCAAAGTTGGTATGTTTATTACGGCGCTGGATGCATGTGGGGATCATTCTCCTTAAAGAACATGTGCACCCTTGAGAATTCTGAACCTTTTTTACCTCCTTTACTTGTACATATGTCTCCGTCTCTCTGGGCGCCTCCCAGTGAACCCCGGCCAGCCCCAGGTCGGCAAACAATGGGGGGGGGCAGCCCTGAAGTGACCGACAGCGGGGGGACACTCTCTGGTGCCCCGAGGGTACTGAGGGCAGCTAGGCTAGTCACCTTTGCAGCAGAAGAGACACTGGAGACATCGGTAGAGAGTAAAAGGCCGACTCTCAGCAAGGGGCCAGTCCAAGGTTTATTTGGAGCTCCTCAGGGGGCCCCACACCTCAGTGGGCTCCTTGCTCAGAGTAAAACAAAGGAATCTCAAGGTTACATTTAAAGGGGGGGGAGGAAACCGAGGGTAGATACATTTGCTGACCAATAAAGACCCTCCAGGGATGCAGCCTTAGGGGATGGACATTTGGGATAACGTATAACATCATACTTAGGGGGCTGACCCCTGGCCTCAGCTAATCACTCGATGGCTTTGACCGAAAGTTCTAGATAGAGGGGATGGGATGCTGAGTGACTGACAGAGAGCCAGGGCGGGGATTTGGGGGATGATCTCAACACAGGAGAATGGTTACACAGGTAGAGGAAGGGGGTACAAAAAGGGGTACATCATCTGGGGAAAATAAGGGGATACAAAATCAAAACTATTACAAAGTATTACAAAGTATAAAAGCACACTACAACATACATATGCATAGAGTTTCACAATAGGTTTATGCATATTTATTATACTGGTTTTGCGTTATAACTTGCAATTAGTCCTTATCGGTCCTTGTACAGAGAGAGAACTCTCTGGTCATCTTGTTTGTCTCTTATAGCCTCAGCTTTAGGCTCTTGTCTTAATTTCAAAGTTTAAGGGCTCCCCCCCTTATCTTTCTTTCTAGCTTGGAAGTTTGCATTATTTTTTCCTGGCTGAGACAGTTTTGCGAGCACAGGGTTTTTTGTGAGAACGGGTAATCTTAAGCACAGCACAGAGTTAACAGACCAAACAACATATTTCATCTATGCAAGCAAGCTACAGACTAAATAATTAAAAACTGCACATTTCACCTAAATCTGAAATGGATTTTTACCCCCTTAAATTTTCACTCTGTTTCATTCACCCCTTTCCTAAAAGTAAGTAAATTCTTTCACTTACTGTAAAGTATAGTATATAGTGTAGTATAAGCAGTTCTCAAGTATACGCAACCTTTACCAGTATATACAAGCACAGTTTTCTGATCAGTGACTAGATGAATTTTGAAGTGGTAAATCCTTTTTTTAGTGTCAAGACACACATCTTGAGCATAAATAAATGAATCTTTTACAAATGAATCTTAGTTGTTCTTTAGTAGCACAAGATTCTAAGTTTACTGTTTGCTACTATTCATTCACCTTTCATGTTTACACCTTATGTTCTGAGGGGTAGAGTACCATTTTTTCATTATTTAATCCTAGTGTGATGATGGGGTTGATAACATAAACGGTGGCATTTCGTATAGTAAGTACAAAGGCAGTGGTTACATTAGAAGTAGGATCATAGGTAAAATTTATTATAGTCTACTAGGATTGAAACTTTCTTTCAAAATCAATTGCATTATCCTAGACAATATTTTGAATTTTAGTTGGAAAATTACCTTCACCCTCTTCCTGTATGATTAAAGCTGCTGTTTTCTGCATCTATAACTGTGCTTGTATACACCTGAAAGTTAAAGACACATTATCTTGAACTGTACTAAGCACTTTTACTATTAACTTGTGGTCTTGGTTCCTGGCCTTTTTCTACTTTGGCAGTATTTTTGAAATCTTCCACTGGCTAGTTCTTAATGCTAATAGAGATGACTGTAAGGGCTGTTTTAATTTTGCTAGACCACCTGTTGTGGCTAGCTTGTTCATCAGTATTTCTGAATCAATTCTATTTAAAACTCCCAATCCTGTTCCTAATATCTTAGTTAGATCTCTTATTCTGCTCTTGAGGTGTACTTGTCTCTGTAACTATGTTGTCTAGCCCTACAGTGGATAGGTTTAAATCTTTTATTTCAGAAGGTTCTCTCATGGATCTAGTATGCTGATTAAAAGCTTGGGACTAAGGCTATTCAGCATCTTTTTGGATGGAGGTACTCTCTAATCTCAAAACTCTAATTATACACAAAACAATTTTGTAAATGAAATTACAAACTACTCCTGGCCACAATATACTCATTTTGTTTGAGTAAGTTTTAGTCTTAGTTCATTGTCTCTTGGTGTCACTTTCTAAGGGACTTCTGGGGCCTTCTTAACTCGAGAGTGGTGGATCCAGGCATTCTGTTCTTTGATCTTGATTGTGGTGAAGGTGGTGAGAAGCACGAGACAACATATATATAATCTTTAGGTTGCATGTTATGTACTGGTCTATCTAGCTCTCTGCTTCGAGTTCTAGTTACATGTTTTTTAATTTTTCTGAGCTATTTATTTAAAGCCACTATATAGTTGGCTAATGTTACTTCCCCAATGTGGGTGGACATCTCCTTTTGTATTCTGTATGGTCCTCTATAAGTATTTCAAAGGGACTCAGTCTTTCTTTGGCTCTAGGTTTAGTTCAAATCTGTAACAGTGCTAGTGGAAGAGCTTGGGGCTAGAGTAGATTAACTTCTTGCCCCAGTCTTACAATTTGCTGCTTAATCAAATGATTAATTTTGTCCACATGGCCATTCAGTTGGGGGTGGTATGGAGTATGAAGTTCTCAATTTATGCTCAGGTGGCTACTAATCTGTTGCACTATTTTGGAAATGAAATGTGATCCTCTGAGGATATTGTGGCTGGAACTCCGAAGCATGGTATTATTTTTTGTAATAATACCCTGGTTACTTCTCGAGCTTTGATAGTTTTGGTGGGGAATGCTTCTGGCTATTCTGAAAATGTATCTGTCAATATTAATAAATACTGATACCCCCCTTTCCTTGGGAGTTCTGAAAAGTTAATTTGCTACTGTTGTCTAGGTCCATGGCCCCTCCCAATCTGACCAAGTTTTGGTTTAGGGGTATTCTTAGGGTTAATCTGGAGGTAAAGATTGTGCAGTCAGGTTACTTGAGTAATAGTGGTATATAAATTCTTGGTAACGATTTTTTCAATTAAATAGGTGTTTAGGGTATTTATTTCTTAGTTTGTTTTCTGGTGTTCTTTCTTTACTAGTGACTATAACAAATGGGAAGGGATTACTAGCTTCCCTCTAAAGGTAGCTTACCCCACTTGGTTGTATGTCTCTTTTTGATCTTTGATTAGTTTTCTGTCTTTCTTATTATATTCTAGTTTACCTCCAAAGGAAATTTGTTTATTGGAATTAGAGTTCTTTTAATAATTACTTCACCTTTCGCTGTTTCTTTTGGTTTCACACACTCTGGACACAATCAAAATAACAGTACACAGTAAAATTATTAGCTGGATCCAGTGATTTACTGGATTCACAAACTCCCAGGGATTGAGTCCAAGCCACTGGGGCAGAGGAACCCCCTGAGTTAATCTAGCTATGGTTAAAATGTGCACAGTCTACACAAATCACTACTTTTAAACACAATAAATGTTCTTACCCACATTTCTCTACTTGTTCAACTTCTCTGTGGGGCACTCCTTGCCCTTACAGCCTGCCCCAGCCAGTGCCCTGGGCCTCACCTGGCCGCTTCAGATGTGGGTAGAACTTCCCCCCCCCCCCCCCCCCCCCCCCCCCCCTACAATGTCCGGACACCACAAGCATACAAAGTTCAGGTTCACTCGACTCACCCCCAGAGTTGCTAGCGGTCACTCTATCGAACAATGAACCTGTCCCCAGTACCCCCAGTCGCTCTATCAGCCAGGGGACTTCTGCTGCAGACTTTGCTCTCGTCCGATGGCAGCCTGCAAGCACAGGGACGAGGCTGTGCGCTCAGACGTCTTTGAGTGGCCTACCAACAGCCCTATCTTTCTCTCCCCCGGGGCCCCTTGATATACATACCGTTTATCAGCACACCAGCAGGTCGTTGTCTGTCCCTGCAGGAGGCAAGCTGAGACAGAGCAGAGCTCCTCCAGGGAAAATCCCGGGGCGCACATAGGAGGTCCGCCCCCGCTCCGCCCCTGAGAGGTCTCCTGGCTGGCTCGCCAAAATGATTTGTGGGAAAAAAAAGCCTAACTACAACTTGCAAAAATTGTAAAGTCAGTATGTTTATTACAGCACTGGACACATGTGGGGATCATTCCCCCTAAAGGACATGCGCACTCTTGAGAATTGTGAACCTTTTTTTATCTCCCTTACTTGTACATATGCATAGAGTTTCACAATAGGTTTATGCATATTTATTATACTGGTTTTGCGTTATAACTTGCAATTAGTCCTTATCGGTCCTTGTACAGAGAGAGAACTCTCTGGTCATCTTGTTTGTCTCTTATAGCCTCAGCTTTAGGCTCTTGTCTTAATTTCAAAGTTTAAGGGCTCCCCCCCTTATCTTTCTTTCTAGCTTGGAAGTTTGCATTATTTTTTCTTGGCTGAGACAGTTTTGCGAGCACAGGGTTTTTTGTGAGAACGGGTAATCTTAAGCACAGCACAGAGTTAACAGACCAAACAACATATTTCATCTATGCAAGCAAGCTACAGACTAAATAATTTAAAATGGCACATTTCACCTAAATCTGAAATGGATTTTTGCCCTCTTAAATTTTCACTCTGTTTCAAAACACAAAGGCTCATAATATTGTTAGAACCTGTGCTGACTGCCAAGGCTGCATTGCACCACTGCAGATAGGGGTAAACCCTCATGAACTGTGTGCTTTGCAAATCTGGCAAACTGATGTCACACACATCCCTGAATTTGTCCATTTAAGATATGCACGTCTCGATACCTTTTCATGAGCACTGTGGGCTACAGTACACACAGGAGAAAAAGGTCAAGATGCCGTTGCACACTGGCTATCAGCTTTTGCGGCTTTAGGCATCCCTCACATCACCAAAACAGACAATGGCCCTGCATACACTTCAAAGAAAACTAGACAATTTCTACAGCTCTAGGGTGTGTCACACCAAACCAGTATTCCCCATTTAGCAACTGGACAAGCCATAGTGGAAAGGGCACATGACACTTTAAAAGGTATACTTAATAAACAAAAGGGACATGTGTGATGAGACCCCACAGAGCAGAATAGCTAAAACTATATATGTACTTCATCATTTAACAGTATTAGAAAAGTCCCAGAACCCAGTTCTTTTAAATCACTCCTTATCACTACAATCATCCTGTGATGTTCAGCTGCCCAAACCCAAGGTAATGGTGAGACACCTCCTCACCAATACATGGGGGGGGGGGGGCTCCTTGGGATCTTATTACCTGGGGTCAGGGATAGACGTGTGTTTCAACAGACACTGGGACACGTTGTGATGCCTTAGGTTTTAGTTTTTATATTTTTCAGATTCTGTACTGCTTCAGTGTGTAGTTCTGAGCTTCATGTTAAGGGATGGTAAGCTCTCTTCACAGAGTAACTAGACAAAACAATTCCTTTCCTAGCTTGGGACCAAGGATAACTGATACAAATTTCAGGCTCAAGAGCATAAACAACATGGACTGAAGAGAGAAAAACAATAAGGATGGGACTTCATAACCTAAAGCTGCAATTGAACAATTAACCCCAATATGCTAATGGGCCAGAAGTTATAAAAGTGAGAGACCCCATGACCAGTCGACCATTTTTGTGACCATTTTGGGTTCATCTTGGGTGTAGCCCTGGCTGGGCTCTTGTACTGCCCAAGGTGTATCCATTGAGGCCTTTTAATAAATACCTACTTTATTCTTTAACTCCGTCTAGCCTCTGTTTTAGGTCAGTGTTCACAAGGCATCAGTTGGATACCTGCCAGATGTACCTGGCCTATGCTATGTCCTGCTTGGGTCCACAGACAGCATCCTCCTGATGACTCCTCAACAGACATCACAGAGCCATGTATGGAGCAGTAACCAGAACAATTTTTCACCTACCTCATGGAAATCTGGGACTCTTGAAGTGACAGTTCATGTAAGCACTTGATTTGTTTACAAATTATTTTTTCCTGTTTACCTACCATTTTTTTCTGTTTAGAGATTGTTTTCTAGTAGTTGGGCTTTTCTCTAACAGTTAAAAGGATTAAATGGTTTAAAGGTTAAATGGTTTCTTGTTTTTAGAGTTAAGTTGTAGCTTGTAGCTATAAGTAGGTAACCTGTGGCATGTTAGCCTGAAGGATGGTGATCTTGCCTAACAGCTCCTGGAAGTGAATGCTGCAGCTCCCGTGATACATGGCCTCATGCAAATTAAACCCATGCTGTCTTCTGTCACCCTGTTTGCAAAAGACCCTTGCAGATAAGTGACAGAGAAGGTTGCAATTTTTAATAAAGAAAGGAGATGCTAGCTTGTACTGGACATTAATTCAGTTATAAATAAGAAACCCAGCCCAGTTCCATAAACCAGCCTTTGGGTTGACATGCCAGAACGTCAACCAATCACGTTCCATCCTAAGCTGCAGACATCTCACTGGTCAGAGAACTGGGAGGTGTTAAGATCAGACCAATGAGCATTTTAGACCGGGACATTTCAAACCCCCTATATAAAGCTGGGTTCAAAGAATAAAGCTCTCTGTTGTCGCATGGATCTGAGGGTGTGTGTCGTCCCTGTCTCCAACCACCGACCCCACAAAACATGTGGCCCCCCACATAATACCCCCACCCCTCCCTCCTTCCCAGCTCTACCTCCTACCCCAGCAGCACAAGGAGACAGGGAATGGGGGTTATGGTCAGTTGATCACCCATGGTTTCTCCCACTGCTCAGGGAAAGGAGTTATTCCCCTGCTCCACCATGGGGTCCCTCCCATGGGAGACAGTTCTCCACAAACCTCTCCAACATGGTTCCATCTCATGAGCAACAGTTCTCTGCAAACTGCTGCAACGTGAGTCCAGCCCATGGTTATCACCTCCCATTGCCTGGGACTTTACTCCTTAAGAGGTAAGCAACCCTAACGAACTGGCCCATCAACTGATAGAAGGGTATCTTTTTTACCCCCATGAATGCGAGCAGCTTCTTGCCCTGTACCGGGGCCAGGCCCGGCCTGGGCCTACCGAACCTCTGTTCAATACTCTCAGAGGACTGTAGTTGAGGTGTTGAGAGCTTTGTAACAAGCTGGCTAGTACATGACGCCCAAGGCCAACATATCCAGGATCAGGCTGAATATACACTTTAGACTGGAAACTTTTGTCACAACTGCGGTCGACAGTTAGCCAGTTTGGTTTTAAGAGCGAGCCGGCAAGGCAGATGTTAGATTATATGTTTAACATGTGGTTGTTGATGGTAAATGATATGAAGGGACTTGTTAGGTTAATTCTCACTCAGCACCAGCAGTTGTTGTTTAATGCGCATTGGCAAGCCCTTGTTAATGAGTGCGTGGCGGTGCAGCGTCCTCCCGGGGATTGCCTGCATGGCATTACAATGGATGAATTAATGGGCCTCGGTGCATATTCCCGCACGGAAGTGCAACTGCTCCTAGGCGCGGATAAGACCAGGGAGGCTATGCGACTTGTAAGGGCTGCCCATGGCTGAGGCCGGGACTCAAACCACAACAACTGTGGCTGAGATAGGGACTCAAACCACAGCAACTACAGTAATTTCCCCAGTAGTGAAAACAAAAAAAATGGACAAGGCAAGTTGCAGGCCCATACCACTGATTAGTGAGGAAGAAGAAGGAGAGGAAGTAATAGTAGGAAAGGAGGGATTAGATCAAGAGGCAGACCCTTCAACAAAGAAATCGAAGGGAGTCAGGCAAGTCAAACAGGAAACCAAAGTTACTTGCTCAGAACTTCAAGACTTGCCAAAAGATTACAGCCACCAGCCAGGTGAGTGGATTTCTACATGGCTGCTGTGATGCTGGGATAATGGGGCTGACAGTCAGCAGTTAGAAGGTCATGAAGCCCAACAGCTGGGATCCCTTGCTAAAAAGCAGAAAGTTGAAAGAGGAATTTGAAAGGAAGGAGCAATTTGCAGCCTTTGGAAATGGCTTCTCTCAAGCGTGAGGGCAAGATATCCATTTAAGATCTTGTGAAATCACCAGGGAAGTGGACCACTGCAGAAGATAGTATCCAGTACTTGAGAGAATTAGCAGTGCTGGAAGTTGTCTTTAGTGATCTAAAGAATGACAGTGTCTCTAAAGATCCAGAGGATGTCCCTTGCTCAATGGCCATGTGGAGGAAGGTGGTTCAAAGCGCCCCTGCATCATATTCCAGCAGCTTGGTAGCACTGTATTACCTGCAAATGGATACACCAACTGTAGAGATGGCGTCCTTCTGGCCCTTAAATGTAAAAGAAACTCTGGGTACTTCCTCATCCCTATGAGCCAGCACCCCAGCTTTAGGGGCAGCCCAAGAGATAGCTCCTCTCCTACCCGAATCAGAGGGAAGTCCCAAGGGCAGGCCATGTAACCAACTCTGGTTCTTTCTGCATGAGCAGGGAGAGGACATGAGGAAGTGGGATGGTGAACCCACCTTTAAGCTGGAAGCCCATATCCATGAACTGAGAGGGAAGAGACCTGTTAAGAAGGGGCTGCCCAAGAAGACTGTCAGTGTAGTTGCCTCAGACAGCAGAAGACAATCGGTGATCTCCCAGATATAAGAGAACTAAACCATTTCCTAAAACCCTGGTGAGAGAACTTCTGATCTGGCATCTCAATGCTCAGAAAGTGAATATTCTGACCAGGAACAGGAATAGAGGGTCCCTGCCTTTGGCCAGGAGGAAGAAAGGGATGACTGAGTATACTGGACTGTGTGGATTCGATGGCCTAGTGCTGAACTGCTGCCCGAGTTTCTCT